AATTTGGACTTTGTAATAATGTAAAATCCACAAATCTCTGCGCACATTAAAACAAACATCTGTTGAACATCTCTGCGCATGGCTTCGATTACGAGTTGTTTTGTGTTTGTTTGTTTATTTGTTTTTGTTTGACTTTTTCTGCAAGCTGTGGAGCTTTTTGTGAGAATGTCAACGGCTCCATTCGTGTTCCAAAAACTAGAGAGGCTCAAAGGAATGTGGTGTGCGCAGAGGAATTCGAGCGGTCGCTGATTGAATATTTCTGGTAACTGTAATTCCCATCGCAGGCCAGATAGGGCGGATTTGTTTTCCATCAGAGCTCATTGAGGGGAAAAAAGGAACAGAGAGAGTAGGCGTGTTTTTTTCTACTTCTCAAATTAAAAGTCGGGGTGAATCTGAGTATACTGACTATGCACACATTCCATCTCAGGATATAGACCCTAGCTATGCTTAATCTATGCATCCAATTGGCTGCTGTAAACGCTCTCATAGTTAGCTTACTCAGCAGTGTTTTCTTCCCTTGTTTTTCTGTCCGCAAATCTTTTAAGGCTCGCTTTAAACGCGGACAGTTATTGCGGAGTCCTTTTGACCCCATTGTGCATTCTTGAAGCCGTGTCTCTGTTTTTCCTCCCTGCTTCTTGAGGTTTTCTCCTCTCAGCTTTCAGCTGGTCCGCACACGATGTTCCTTTCTTTTCCTGTTTTTTGCTTTTCCTTTCCACTGTTCCTCTTCTTTCCTTCATCACATATAGATGCCATCGGTTACCTTGGTCCATGTGCCGGGTTACAGCGACACAACGCCAGTTGATTTGGACTTAAATGTCACATTTTGCAAACGTCCTTTCTCGTTTCCTTTCAAAGCAACACCTTCTCACAGCCGGGGGGCTAATTTCTGCTGCTTTTCACAAAGTGTTATTGCCTTGTGGGGAGAAACTACAATTGTTTTAACCCAGTCAAAAGCTGCTGAGCAGTCAGGGCCTGCTTCAACAAGTCTTGCACAAATTAAATTTGACATCTTCCAATGGCAGCAAACTGTAAAAGCTTCTGACCTGAAAACAGTCTGAATCAACACCGAGTCTTGGAATGCTGGATCATGAGTTATTTTGTTATTTTGTGTGAACTTTAGTTTAACTTAAATGGCCGGTGAAGTAAGTAGTGGGGTTGTTTTCTATAAGACAATTTTTTACTTTAAACATTTGGTATGTTTTCTATGTTACGTTGTGAATAAAACTGCCCCCTTTTTCTGCTTCTACGACAAAACTGCAGAAGGAAATCGCATCACTCCATGTCTTTAAAAATGCTCAAACATATCTTATGAGGTCCTCTGCTTTATATATAATAAATACAGCAATAGATTTATCTGCAGTGTATTTGTTTACCTTTTAAATGGTCGATAAAAGAAGGTGGGGTGGGGGGCAGGTTTGAATAGAATCACACTCACTCTTCCTTACTCTCTTTTCTCATTTTTCTTCCACTTTCAAGACATTTATCAACTCCTATTCAAAAAGCATGACCTGAAACACAACACTGTCCACCTTTTGCTGATGGGCTACAGTAAAATGGATGCAGCATCCTCGGAGTGGCACAGATTCACTCCACCCTTCTCACGCTCTCACACGCTCACACAACTTCTTCCATAAGTGTTAAAGTGTGTTTGTCATTCAGATTTTAAACCCAAATAAACAGCAGCGATCAAAGAAGCAACTTGTTATTTTAAAGTGCCAAAAGGAGAACAAGATGTACTAAAAGGGACACATGTGTTAAGACTTCATTTATTTAGGATGTGTCATTCAGTTCTTGACACCACGGGTTTGATGTCTATATACTAAGAATGAGGTATTTAACACACTCTAAAGACTTTGGCATAGAGCAGGTTTTAAAGGGAATCATTTCTGAACACTGATCCTTAATATATGTTGTTTCTGGGTGACCTTATTATACAGTTGAAGCATCAGTGGGATCTGCATTTTGTAGAAGCTCACCACTCGTCGGCTTCAGCGCGTTCAGCACGTCTCCATTATTTACATCACCCACTTTTTCAAAAACTTTTCATTGCTGTCTGAGTTCTGTTGGACTACAAAGAACAATACCTCAATGGTTCACTGCGATGCTTGACACAGACGTCAGACATCAGCCACTATTCACACAAATACACACACTCACACACACACAGACCCACACACAAGTATTTAGCTTCGACAAGCCTCATTTGTCCTCACTTTTAAGTGTTTGTTAATCTGTCCTGTATGGATAACATTCACAAAATCTTACTCAGTCACGTTATTCCCTCCAGTGTTTGAAGTTTTTTTAGCCCAATTCCCAGATTGGTTTGTTTGAGCAGGTGCTGATGATTTATTCTCTTTACTCTGAGGCAGAATGGATTATTCCCAGGTCTTGTGAACGCAACAAATCCTTCAGAAATGTACTGTGATGAAACTACACGTATATCCCGCTAAACTTCTGTATAGGTCGTAGCTTAAGTTTAAGGGAGAAGGTTTGTCATAGCACATTTACTCTGAACTTTAGTGGGAAGTGTCCCTCTAGTATTATTAACGTTAACAGCTGAGTCAGAACAGATAGAAGACATGATGTAGTTCTCAAGCAAAGGTCACGCTGGATCATTAAAAACACCAATGATACTGGAATGTCTTGTCAAACAGTTAAGACAAAACCTCCACTTATCATCCCCGGTCCTCCTGATGTGCTGCGTTTAAATCACGCGGGTCAGCAGATTTAAACAATCCAGCATTAGCTGAAGTGGCCCCTACTTCACTTCTCCAGATGCCACCACTCAGGGGTTAAACTTAAACTTCTTCTCCCCGAGAAGGAGGTAAAAGAGACATGTTTGTCTTAAAACTGCCGTGTGTTCATCTCATAATCTGAAAAGAATCTGCAGCCTGTGGGGGAAAAAATAATGCTGACGTTGCTCAGTGGGAGCTCAACCTTTTTGGAAACGGGGAAATGTTATTTGAAGTAACACAAAAGGGCCAACGCATCGTCGTCATCTCCATCATCAACGATGCAATGTCCCGTGCTGCTGTTCTAACCAAACAGGAGCTTTTTAAAAAGATTTCCACCGTCATAATTGTTACGATAGCTTAAAAATATACAAACTAGAACATTGAGGTATATTTAGAGTTCTACTCCTGTAGCTGCCCCTTGTTGTGACCCTTTGGGAGTTCGAATTAATCTCAACCATCACTCCGATCAGTCCGAATGGAAGGCCACGTTTGGCAAATTATGTTTTAAGATGTTGATGAGTTTCAAGCAATATCGATAGTTTAGTCATGTAGATAATAGGTTACGAATAGGTTATTCCCTAACCACATTTTCCTTTCATACCTGGATATGAGTCCCACTAACACAATCCACAACATGTTTTTAGCAGGATTGTTTATTTGATCATTAATTGCATGTAATGATGCCAAAAAAAGTATTTGAAAGGCATTGAGAGCCCCCATCTTTTGGAAAAGTCTCTCCAGAAAGAGTTGTGGTTGACGATTGCTGCCATTACCCCCCGATAAAAGTTTATAGATCTCCTGCCAGTTATGTCACACCCAACTAGTCGCTTAACTACGACTCCCCCGCCTTCCTATTGCCATTCCTCTTCTTCGCCTTGTCTGTCCAACCCCTTCTTTCACCCATTCCACCCAGTTAAGGACCATTTTATCTCCCAGCACACACCCGTAAATCTGTCCTGTGGGGAACAGTGCGGTAGCCGGTCTGGTCAGGCCAGATAAACAAATCGTGACTTTCCACACCACTGGCGGTAGATCCTTTGCCATCTGCGTAATTAGGATTTATTAAGTAGATTCGTCTCTCAGGGAGGGAATGCTTGTGAGGAGCCAAACATTTTCAGACAAAGCTAAAGGAAAAATCCACCCTTTGCAGGCAGACGCAGACAGGGGTGCCTTCCCTTCAGGTCACACAGACGTGCTATCTTGTGATGCACATTCTCCTCTCATGTGGAAAGCAGCATAAATGAATGTAGGTCAGCGCCGCAGATTGAAATCCTCCTCCTCCTCCTCCTCCTGGAGCCGACTGGAAGTGCTCTTCATGCTTTCCCACACTTCTGCCAGGAATTCCGTACGAAGCGCGTTTCAAGCATGACCCCATAGATACCGTTAACCAAATAGATGTGAGAACGTCGAGCACAGTAGAGCCCTCTTTCTAAAAGCTCGTTCCGTGGATTTAGAGAAGCAGAAATAGATCCACAACGTCCCAGCGAAAAACCTCATTGATTCCCGGTTTCAAGCTCGGAATTATATGCGATTAAGACCGAGTCGCTAATCTGATGGAGAAAAAGCGTCATGGCGACGGGCCATCGGGGCCCTTCATTCGCTGCACTCGGAAGGTGATGTCATAGCAGTCTGGGTGGGTGCGGTCTCAGCTTGTCCTCTCCTACCCAAAACCAGACGTTGGGTATGTGGTAAAACAAGAAATGATTGTGTGGCGTGTTCACCACTCTTCCTATAAAGCGTAGAGCTTCCAGTAGTTAATTGCATGGGGGGAAAGTTACGATGTTGAATTTTTCTCCTGAGAGCCGAGGAAGGAGCACAGCACCGAAGAACAATGAAAGTGTGAGGATGCCTGTGGCTGCCTCAAAATTAAAACTTTACGATTTCAATTTTATTTTTTTGAGGAAAGAGAACAGAAAAAGTTTGGCTTCATATTTTGTCTTATTTCTTTTTCTGTGCATATTTATTTTTAGTCTTTTATCAAAATACAGAATGACTATCAGACTGTAGAGCTGCTCTTTTTTATGGGAGAAACAAGTATGGGTGTTTCTGTATTGAAATAACCAAAAGAAGAGAAAAAAGAAAGGAAAAGAAATATCGTCTCAAACTATACCGACTGGACACAATGACTGTTATGTCTGATGTCACTTTCAGGACAAAAACATGCGATTTCTATATTTGGGTAGTTAGGGTGAACTGGTCCTTTAATTTTATATGTCTTGACCAAACTGACCTCGACATCTTCTTTGATTTTGTCTCTTGATTCAGGTGCCTTTGCTAAGGTCAAGGAGAGCCAGCGGATGAGCGACGAAGGAAAGATGGACCAGGACGAGGCGGACGGCATCAGGAAACGCTGCCGGACTGTGGGCTTTGCCCTCCAAGCAGAAATGAGCCACTTCCATCAGCGACGGGAGGTGGACTTCAAAGACATGATGCAGGCCTACCTCAGGGAGCAGATTGCGTTTTACCAGCGTGTCGTCCAGCAACTGGAGCGCACCTTGCGCATGTACGACTGTCTGTAGAAAAGACCTAACTGCCCTCTTGACCAAGACGCCATGACCGCATGGAATCAAGGACAGCGAGAATCAAGCCTTGAGTCTTTCATCAAGGTGTCTGGTTGGGGATTGAAAATACAAAAATCTAAATATGAAACGCCAGTTACTGGAAAGATGTACACAAAAACCATACTTTGATGGATTCAAAGTTAACTTTGTTTTTTTAAGACCTACTGTATCTTTTTATGCCATAAAATACATTTTACATATGCAGTGTCGCAGCACACTGATTATTTTACATAATTTAAAGTGTTCGTAACAGAAAAAAAAAAGTTATCCATAGTGGATCTATAGCTGGTTCTTTTATATTGTCACAAAAGCCATGAAACGGGTTCTCTCAAAACATCACGCACTCTGGTTTCTCCAAAGGATCGCTTTAAGTTTTGTCATATGTGCAAACTGTGTACAAAACCATCAAACACACGAGCCAAAACAAGGCGTTTTGATTTGTGCAAAAGCATTCCAAAAATTGATTCATCAGTTCCATCTGGACCAACATTGTACACAGAGGTGGAAAGTTACTGTTGTTTTGCTGAGGCCACATCCCGCTCCAGTGCTCACTGCTTGAGTTTTCTCGTCTGTTGCTACGAGTCCCAAAATTCCTGTCTCCTCCTTTTGCACCATGACAGGCACTTATCGGGGCTAGCAATTCCGTTTAGTGTTTTTTTTTTTCCCCATAGCGTGTGCGCCTGTCGGGATATACAAGATTCTGATGGATCGTTCCTTAGTGGGCCATTAGGGTTGTTTGTTTCGCCTGGGCAAATTGTTGGAGGGAGCCGTGTTTGTGGACAAGTTTGCACATGTTTTCACCATTTATTTGTCGTAATGTCTGGGCGTGTTTATGTCTTGAGGCTCAAGGCAACATATGTCAAAACCCGTGTGGATCAATTCCCTTTTCCCAAGTGGACAAACAAATATCGAGTTTTCTTTTTTTTATGTGTTTACATCACTTATGGAAAGTGTTGAAATATCCACAATAACACCAAGAAAAAAATAAACATTTACACTGTTTTGTTGGATTAGACAAATGGTATTGCTCTTACGTCTGTCTGTGAATAAGGTCATATTATGATTTCTTTTCACTTATAAATAGGGGGTCTACAGAGTTCCCGATCAAAGCCAGACCAACAGTGGTTGCAGCGTGTGAACTCACTGTGCGACTCATTAGCATAATACCTCTTGACTGGGTTGTCACAACTCAAAGAACATAAGCAAGTTGTCAGTTTTGTTAGGTGTGATCCCTTATCTGAGAGAACACAGTAGACTGAGCTTTAGGAATAGGGAACTTTGTCATTCCATGATGTGAGCTGCTGCCTAATAGCACTGCAGTATAACAGATATGTGCAACAGAGATACTGGTCACCTATTGGTATAACACTCATTTTGAATCGCCTCCGTGATAAACTTTCACCATAATTTTTCCAGCTATGACGGATTAAGTTAAGGTGTTTGTGACTGTGTGGGTAGGAATGGGCTTTATCATCGTTATGTCCCGCCAAGGGTGCAATATCAAATACATGCTCCCCATGGTTTTGATTAAGCATTAATTATCTAATAATAGTAACTGAATCAAATTCCAAGTAAGAATAAGCACGACTTTATTTTTTTCATGTATAAGTAACTACTAACTAATCACATTGCCCTTAGTTTACAATAAAAAATAAAAATAACAAAAATTCCTATGGCAATAAATATCAGTAGTGAGAGAAAATATTTTGTTATCTTAAATTTTGTATAACAATGCAGGGAAAGAAATCTGGGAACCTCAAATCAAGCAATAAGTAATGTTTGGCACAGTCAGACCTTAAAGAGACGGGACCTAAAATGTAGCAATTTTACAAGAAGCCAAAAAGAGGGGTGAAAGCAATGTGCAGCAACCAAACAACATCAAAGCATACAAACATAACCTAGTCGAACTAATAAATTACATTTTAGTCTATATAATGGTCTGTCAATACAGAAAGTTCTAGCAATTGTATCGTTAGCCTAGCTTAACTAAGGAGTTGAGGGGAAATTGCTAGCTGTGACTAATATTTTCATAGGAGATCCAGTTGGACGTCTAATATTTGTTAAATTTGTAAATGTACAACTACTTTTGTTCCCATATCACCTCGATTTAGTTGATTATCAGTCAGACATAAAAAGATAACTTGAAAGATCTATCAGTTTAATTCTCAAACAGTTTTCTGGGGTTCACTGTTTTTATGCTAAAGTTAGCCTCTCAATCATAAAAGCAATAACTCCTAAAGTGAGAATTCATACACCCTTTTATTCTTGCTTTTTCACGCGTCAAGCATCAACTTTGAGCCTTTCATAAGAAAAGCATTTTCCTTTTGCCTCATTTGGAATATAAAAGGTTTCCACTCCCCCGCACTTTCCATAGGCATGAGTCTAACCTCCCCCTGTCTGAGTTAGCAAAGTAACATTACTCATCCTCCTTAACAAGAGCAAAATTTCACAGCAACTTGCGGTTAGCGCTGCGTCGCCTTTAGAGGTTTATGTGTTGTCTGCCTTGCAGTAACAAGCATTACCTCAGCAAGCATAAGGAATGGTTCAGTTTGCTTGACACATGGCTCCTAAAGCAACCATCCGTCAGTTGTGAGGCACTGATTCTTCATTAGGACGAAGGACAGTCTGATCTCCAGGTGGTTTTGTCTGTGCAAGAAAAGTTGAATGTATCCTTTTTTTTGTTTTACTAACGTGGTGAATTCTTATCTGTTAAAATGTTTTCTCTCTCTATTCGTCTTTTTCAAATGAGTCTCCTACGAGAGTGAGAGAGAAGAAAATGCTGACTCTGCGTGCAGATGTCTCAGTTACTGTTTTTGTGTAGTCCACATCTGCAGCCTTTAGGATGTGTGAATAGTTCATGTTTGTTTATTTTTAGGACAAACCGTTTCCTTATATGCTGTTTTATTTCTTTCCTATGACTCTTGCTCTCAGCTTCTACTCTCACTTCAGTTTGTTCATGACCTGAGAAATCTGAGAATTATTTTTTTTCTTTTTTGCTGGACTACTGGCTTTGGTCGTGAAGTTGAATGTGCTCTCTGGTTTTGTAATTGCATCTGTTCTGCTCTGAGGAAAATGTGAAGCGAGGACTTGGAAAGACAAAAAAAAAAAAAAAAGAATTCCACAAAGATATAAAGGACACCAAAGACTAAAGACAGAACCTTTGTGAAAGAATGACTGAAAATCCTTCTGGGTATGTTGCAATGCTGCATGATACATCCTGTGCCAGGGATTTCACACAGGTGACTGTTTCTGAACATGGATGTGTGACTTAATGAGTTGCAGGAGTTGTGCGCTTCAGTTTGTGTCTCTGAAGTAACAGATGGTGGTTTTCAGTAAGTAAATGTCACTTGATTTTAGGGAGGGAAACTTATAAATCTTAATAAACAGATATAATGGTGGTTGCCCCCTGTCTCTGTCATCTTTGTGGATGGGAAATCATTCAGAGCCATACGATGCGTAATATGTTTATGTTAAAACTGTGTTTACTTAGACAAGTGAGTCTCTCTTCTGCTTGTGCATTTCTGTCTGCACTCAGTGTGTCAGGATATTTGTGACAGCGGGATCTGGTGATCAGCGTGACCTGAATATAACCAAAGTACAGCCAAAAGATTTGCGTATATGAATGTGTGCGTTGGAATATACTGAGACTGGGAGGTATTAACAAAATAGAGCTTCAAAAATATGAACACTTTCTGCCAATAAGTCTGAGGGAAGCAGATTTAAACTTTTTTGAGGTTCAGGGTGGAGTGGGAAATCGGTTTAATCCCTTGTGTGTACGTTTTGTCTCACAGAGCTGTGTTTACACTGCTATAAATAGCTATTTCTAAAAATAAATGTCCCAAATGAAAGTGTGTTCATGGATGCTGATAATTTAAATCTTTATCACAAATCAAAGCATTCATAATTTCATTCTGTGTGTAATCAGTGGAGATATACTGCAGAACATATAGAATTTTGTCTAAAACTTTAACCCTATGCGCTGGGGAATAGAAAGCTACAGTTAACCTTGCAGCATTTATTAAAACATGTTGCATTCATGTACCTTGGAAATTAGAAATACAAAGTCTTGTTCAATGGTTATTTTGATAATCAAATTCAGATTCAGTAGATTACAGACCACGTAACAAATATGTACACTGACAATATTAAGATGATATCCTACATTAGATAACAACAGTGCCACCACCATAATTAACATCTGCAATACCTTTAGGCATTATTCCTTAAAAAGGAATGGATGCATAGAAGCAATGAGTTTATGGCACAGCTATGTGAGGCAGGCATAAAAAAGTGATTATGACCCATCTGCCAAATGTAGATTGTACTATTTTACCACACCTATTAATGGGACAATAATGTAATGAAAAGAAACAGGAAGGGTTCCCAAAATAGTTTGAAGTCCTTCCTGTTGCTGTCTGAACAGCTGATTGATTAAAATGTATGTGGAATCTATCTTTTTCTCCACTAATTTGCTGTTCAAGCTGTGTTTGCTAATATTTTCTTCCACAAAGTAACAGATATCTACAGTTGATTTTTGTCATTTGTGTACAGGTTAACATTTTGTTGACACACAGGTATGTTGATTCTGAAAGTGAAATTGGAGTCAGTCCCCTTGGAGTCAATCAGTCCCATTTAAAGAAATCATGTCTATGTAGACAAAAAAGTAAAGTTTAGTTTCTTTAATCGACCAAAGAGAATAATATTTGCAAATAAAATCACATCTAGATTATTATCCTTTGTAGCATAGTTGTTATTATATTAAGAGAAAATACTGAAATGGCTTGGCATAGGTTCTGTAAAAAAACTGAATGTGGAGCCTTCCAATTGATGGGAGCCACTGAACATTTTATACACGTTTTTCCAAGTGCATTTAACTTTAAGGCTCCCTTTCTAAGTTCATTCATAGAAAATAGTTCTCCAATACCAAACTACAGCTTAAGAAATGAGTACAACATGTT